CAGGCTCAGGCAATCCACTCACCTCAGCCTCCCAAAGGCGCGTGATTACAGGCTGAGCCACTGAGCCCGGCTATGTATCTTAACTTTGAACAAAGATGGTTAAAAAGTAAAAACAGAAAAAGTCGGCTGGGCTCGGTGGCTCAGCCTGTAATCCTAGCACTTTGGGAGCCTGCGGGTTCAAAACCAGCCTGGGCAACTTGGCAAGACCTCATCTCTATAATAAAATAAAAATTAGCCGGGTGTGGTAGTGCGTGCCCAGCAGGTCAATGCTGGAGTGGCCGTGAGTGTGCCACTGCACTCCAGCCTGGGCAACAGAATGAGACTCCAAAAAAAAGGAAAAAAATAGAAAAAGCTTGTAGAATATATAAATACAGAATCTAAAGAAAATATTTTTGCACAGTTGTATGTGTCGCAAGTCAAATATTATTACAAGTTAGGATTAACTTATAAGATCAAAAAGCTACAGTAAGATAAGGATAATTTACTATTTAAGAAAAGTTTAAAAAAAAAAATGTGTAGTAGTTTTATAAAAGCCTACAGCAGCACACAGGAACATCCTAGGCCCTCACATTCACCCACTTATCTAGGTAAGCTTCTACTCATGGTCAGTGCCCTCTAGAGGGCACTATTCTTTTAGACATTTTTGCCATACCTTTTCTGTTTAAATACACAAATACCATTATTTAACAATTGCCTGCAGTACTCAGTAACATGCTGTACAGATTTATAGCCCAGGGGCACTACGCTCCACTGTATAGCCTAGTGGTGTAGGAAGCCATGCCATCTAGGTTTGTGTCAGTACATTCTTTGTTCGCATGAAATTGCCTAACGTTTCAGTGTATCCCCGTTGTTCACAAACATGACTGTGCTGCATGCTGTGGACAAGGATAAACCTTGAAAATATGCTAAACTGCATCATCACAAAAGGCCATATATTGATTTCATTTATGCAAAATGTCTATAATAGGCAACCATTTGGAAAAAGAATTAGCCATTAGTGATTGCACTGGAAAGAGTGGAATGCTAATAGATTCAGGGCTACTTCTTGGGAATGATAAAAATGTTCTGAAATTAGTGGTCATGGTTGCAACAAATCTGAATATAATGAAAAAGACCGAATATCATGTGGTACATTTTTTAAAGGGCAAATTTTATGATATATAAATTACATCTTAAAGCTGTTATGAAAAATTATGTGGTGATATTATATATGCTTATTCTCTAGAAAGGTGCCCTCTAAGTAGAGCAAGTGTTAGTGAAACAGATCTCAACAGGGTTTCTTCCCCTTTCAAAGTTTTCTTTGCTCTGGTCAACACCTGGGTAGAAGAACTGAAAGACAGACAACTGAACAACTGTTTTAATAAACCTTTATTGGAAAGGCTACAAACTTCATATTGCCACGGCATTTCTTATGCTTAAAAGTGGTTGTGGGAAAGTAACCTCAGATACAAAAACTACTATGCTGTTGAATCTCACCCAGGCTCGCTGTAAAATACTTTTGTACAACGGAGGTAGAGTGGATAAGATAGGGCAATAATTAAAACTTCACAGGCCTTGATTATGTATCAGAGTATCTTTTTGCATTCAGGTTTTAACAGACCTGGAAATAAACTACAAGTATTATCTTTAGGCTCAGGGGGGCATAATACATTTTACATGTTTACTTTTCAGTTCTCCCCATTTGCTCCTTTACAGATGTAAAGTGTGCACCTGATGGCTCTTTTCCCTCAAATAAGTGTGTTTTAAAAATATCTACTCTGGGAATGAAGAGGTCAAAATCAGAAGATGGAAAGAAAAACACATTCTTTTCAAGAGTTTTACCTGATTTTCCCTAATACCAGTCTGAAAGTCTTACTTTTCTATAAAACATTATAGAAAAATCAAAGTAATAATCAATGGCTTCCCTCAATTTCAAATATTCAAACTTAATAGAGACAGAGCATTTTTAACATTTAATGAAAACAGAGCTTTTTTCACAGATTCTATGCAGACATGGTTTTACTAATTTGCTGTTACCTTATCTTTAAGAGGGGATGGTGGCAGAGAGGTCCAGAGGCCTGGGCTAACCCAGTGCTCGGGATCATAACTTAGGAGTGACTCTGCAGAGCATGAATTGAAGCCATTAAAGCCTGTTTCTATGATCTTTTGTCTTTTAAAATTCTAAAATGGGCATGTGCCTGAGTCATAAGCTTCAGGCCAATGGGTTTTTAAGGGCTGTTTAAGAACCAGAAGGATACAATCTCCAGTTTAAGGACACATTTTACAGTTTAAAATATGTTCTGTCTAAAAATGTGACACAAAGAATAATTTACACCAACTGCTTTTTATTATCGAATTTCAGAAACCTTTCACAAGATGGTAAAAAAAAAAAAAAAAAGAAAACAAAAAAAACCAAAAAACTTTACAACCACAGCTAATGTAATTTTTCCCATTGTTCCCAGTCAGCTCCAAACCCATTGTGCGCAAAGCCCATTTTTTCCATGCATCTAAATGATAGATACAGGCTATGAAATTCTTTATTCTATTTTGTAGCAGCTTATGCAGGTGCAGCCAAACACAAAGCTTCAGGACAAAATGTACAAACTTTACAATGTGGGATTTGAATTCGAAATATGAAACATAAAATCTACACAAAACTGATAAAAATCAAGCACAGATACCAGGACTGAAACTTATAACCCATGTGTGAAAGGGAGTCTTGTTTCCTTTCAAGTGCTTTATTCTGCTACAGAACAGTCGAAATGAAGATGTAAAGCTTTGTGGTTAGTTTAAATTATACACTCTGTAGATACTATACCAATTTTAAAAGTTACACATAGACCAAACAATGTCCATCAGTTCTCCTGGATTGATCAGACACTCCAGCAGGATTGCTGAGAACAAATCAGGCAAATGTGGAAAGCAAATCCACCTGTGCAATGTGTTTGCAGAGCTTACTGATGGGCACACTGAACTCCAGGTCCATGATGGCTGCTGCTTTCTTCATCAGAGCTGTCGTTATAGGCTTCACGCCTCTGACCACCTCCAGAGCCTCGAGTGTTATCAAATTCCTGAAGCTCTACCTCCTCTGTTTCTCCAATTATGTTAGGAACTTCTGGTCTAGATGGCAGAAGGTCTTCTAGCTCCTTCATTAAAACAAGCAAAAATCAGGATAGTAGCAATAGCTTCATCAACTTTCCTTTTGATACAATTCAGTACATGCTTCTCTTAGTTAAAACAGGAAAGTGGACTGGTGTTTGCATTTTAGTTAGAGATCACAAACTGATGACCCAAAGGCCAAATCTGCAGGCATCTTTTATGAAACCCATTCACTGCTTTAAAAACAAAAAGATGGGCTGGGCGCAGTGGCCCAAGCCTGTAATCCTAGTACTTTGGGAGATGGGGGCAAGAGGCTTGCCTGAGTCCAGGGGTTTGAGACCAGCCTGGGCAACCTGGCAAGATCTCGTCTCTACAATAAACCAAAAAAATGCACCAGGCGTGGTGGCATGTACCTATAGTTCTGCTAGTTGGAAGTCTGAGATGGAAGGATCGCCTGAGTCAGCAGGTTGAAGATGCAGTGGCTGTGAGCATGCCACTGCACTTCAGCCTGGGCAACAGAGTGAGACTCCAATTAAAAAAAAAAAAGATGGAAATGGTTGCCAACATTTAAACGTTGAAAAATCTCACAGGAGACATGCCTTCCTACATCCTGCATGGAGCACCAACTGATGCAGGGTGGGGTCTGTCCTCTTCAGGTGAGGGTTCTACTCTCCAGGGAGTACCAGTCCTCCCTCTCACTACCATTCACATACCCAGTCTGTTTTGTATCTTTACAGCCTGGCTCCATACAGATTTACACTAGCGACTCTTGACTTCCTAACAACCAGAAAAACCCATCAATCACATAAATATCAAAAGGTAAAAATTTCAACTGGTAATCTTTTTTTTTTTTTTTTGAGTTAGAGTCTCGCTCTGTCGCCCAGACTGGAGTGCAGTGGCCTGCTCCCAGGCACCACAGCCTCGACCTGCTGGGCTCCGGCGATCCTTCCGCCTCAGCCTTCCAAGCAGCTGGAACTACAGGG